TGACTCAACATCCTGTGGCAAAAAGTGTCAGGATATCAGTGGGGGATTCTGTCCCGAGCCAATGATTGACTAGTCTAACCCACTTGGCTCCCGGAGGCCTGTTCAGCCCCAGGAAGAACAGAGTAACGCATAACTGCCTGACGTAATGTGAATGCGCCCAGAATCTACCTTTAAAACAGCACCACACTCTCGGATCCCGAAGGTGCTTCGACGGTACTGAATGAAGCACAGGCTGTCACGGTCAACCACTGGGCTATCGGACTGTGTGGTCTTTAGGACCGACTTTTTTTATGACAGTATCGTCGCTTTCATGAATATGGACGTGCTGTTTACCTGAAGCAAAAACCGTGCTGATTTCACATTGTTTTCAAAAGGGATAATAAGACTTCAACCCAAGGCCGCCTCGTGATGATTGTTCTACCCTTTCTGTGGCTGCTTCCCCTATGTGGGGCGAGATGGACCAAGTGGATAGAGCGCAAATATATTGACTGGAAGTTTTGTGGTTCGAATCCGCCTCTGCCTCTCGACTTCCCTTGTCTAGGCTTGGGTGACCTGGCAGTATCCCAGCGCCCGTGCTTCGTAATGATGGCATGGTGGTTAAGCACCGAAAGGGTGCTAAAGCTGAACAATTTATTTATTTATTTATTTTATTCCTCCATGTCTTCGTAGCATGGCTGAACCTTAAGGTTTCGCCTGTGAGAACATTACAACACTCAACCCCAACCACGACGCCAAGGCGACAGTTATTGGTCAGGCCTCTTCATAGATTCACGGGGGTATTAAAAGCAGGAGATAGTCCCTTGACAGTCACTTCACCTTCAGTAATCAAAGGTCGCTTCCTGGAAGGATTTGTTTGTAACAGTGACAGCAGTAGCAGCAGTGAATCCTTCACGGTGTCCGGAGCAGGCTTGAGATCAGGGGGGTAATAAGATGCTAACGTCCTTCCCTCCGGGTAAATTTTGAAGCACACCTCCCTCCAAAAGTGACAGGCAGCCAAAGGACCGGACCAACCGTCATCATCATCATCCATCATCATCATCATCGGCAGCATGACATCGGTGTTCAACACCGATGCTTCGCTGCCGTACAACCATGACTTAATTAAAAACCTTATTGTGAAGGAAAGAATAAAAGTGGACGGAGAAGTGCTAGCTTCCTACAATCATTACGAGATGCTTACACCTCTGGATATTCACTCAGGCAATCTGGATAGAAACTGACAACAAGAATGCCACTGACATCGGTTGGCAGCCATACCTTGCAGCGCGAATTTACTGACCGGGCGGTCTGTGGCTCGAACCTGGCCTTCAAATATGAACTTCTCCTGAGCATGCTTGAACAACCTGGCAGTATCCTAGCCCGCGTGCTTTCTTCGGGTGGTATGGCAGTTAGGCACTGAAAGGGTGTTACAGCAGAATGACTGTCACGAAGAGACTGGACCTTACCGTGGTGTGACGGTTTGCGAACCTCAGCGATCCATTGAGCTATACTGAAGAGTGTCCCGCGACACTCACAGAGTCTCTCATACCAGGTTGGTCAATGGTTAGAGGTCTGACGGACACAGTCTCCTGGCCCTCCAGGTTGGAGGTTGGAACATGTGGCGACTTGTTCCGTAGAAATGGTAATGCATTTGCATTTCCCGCCAAACACCGCTGCCTTGCGGTTAGGCTTTTGAGCCAAAGGCTTTGGTTGAGGACCCTAATCGTCCTCCTGTCTAGGTGTGGGCGCCCTGGCAGTGTCCCAGCCCTCGTACAACCATGACCTACACAACTAACAATACCCTGATGCCACATCGGCCGTCGCGTGGTGCCATCAGCCGGGTCGCCTTACTTGCTGCATACAGCAGGGCGGGTAAGCGAAAACAGGCTATTGCTGACGCCTCCCTTCTTTCTCCACCACATACTTTTCTTCCCCCTCTCCCCACCCCATTAATAACACTCTCCTTGTAGGCCCAGCACTTAGGACTGATGACTCCGTTCGCCTTGTATCGGTTTTGCGTGCAACATCTGCTCGTCACATGCCGCCGACATCCTCAGGTATCTCGAAATCGATCTTCAAGCCTCGACACCCAGTCTATCTGGCCGCGTTCAATGTTCGCACTCTGAAGCAAGCAGGACAACAAGCT